GTATATTGACAAAATAATGTAAATATTGCAATGGCAAACTTATATATGAAAGAAGGGCAAATGTAATAAAATATAGTACAAGTAAAAGCTATTTTACAATTGTAATTCTTTGCATAAAATACTAACAATAATATCATAAAAATATTTCTGTATGCATAAATAATGATGCTTCTGAAATATTTTGCTCCAAATATTTACCTAAAATATATGAAACAAAAGAGGAAACAAATAGAAATATAGCATTATATTCAATCTTATGGACTTAATTAGGTCATGGTATACTGCCTATAAGACATTAAAACAATACTTTGAGCACTGAAAATCACTGGCAGCGGAGAATACTAAAATACTGAGCAAAAACTTAACAAATACCAACAATGTGTGCCTTGCTAAGAAGTTTATGAATGAGAATGTATTATTCAACAACACACCATTCATATCTTCCTTGTCAAATTATTCATTCTCATTTACAACCTCTTACTATTTGTCATATGTAAGCTTTTGTGAATGGGGGCAGATTCAGGGTATTTCAAAGGCTCTTGTGTTGTCAAAATGGGTGAAAAATAAGTACATGAAAATTTAGAATGAATTATATGCACAAGGAATTACAGTGGACATTTCTTTACTAATTTTAGCAAAACCATCTTAGAATTACCGAAATTGGTCATAAATATCTGTACCTTGTGTGTGCCTTCTGTGGGGGTAGTTTATCACTGAAAGCTCTCCTCTGTTACCTCTGGATCTGTTATTGTTCATTAATTAATATTATCTGGGATTATTTGTTACTCTGTAATTGAGAGTACTAATTAGGCTAATAAGATTCTAACCAATATATATATATATCTCATTACAATTATTCCCTGAATGAAAAGAATCTATCCTTAATATTTCTCTGCTGGAGAGAGATAAAAGAAGCTAAAATCTATGCAGAATGAGTAATGCCCTGTAAGATTACATACCCAAGCAAAACTTCAACCTCCACTTTCTATATGGGAAACAAAAAAGAAAGATTTAATGCAACGCTACATTTTCCTTTTAGACTTTTTGGCTTGTTATTCATTTCACAAATCCCACCTTAGTATTTCTCGTAAAATTTCTCATGCTTCTTTTCAAATGTCACATTACTTTGCCTTCCTGTTTACCATTCTTGTAAAACTATAGTCTCCACTAAAATTTCATTACAATTTTTACAGCCTCTAGATCACTACTGTTTTGAGTACTGAAGTTACAGTAACTATATGGATATATTAAATATGTAGATATACATTGTCTATAGCATGACGAACTTCCAAAGCAAAAAGTTAGAAATGAATGTTAATTAAAGGGAGTGGAATGGCAGAAACTGTACAAGCAATATTGTAAAAATATCTGTCTGCTTAATGAAAAATAGTAAAAACAACTACAGAAATAGCTATGGAATTCTCTTTCTGCATTGATCTTGGTCCATAACCTTTCTCTACGACTCATCTTTAAAAAAGTATACATATAGCTCTAAGACTTATGTGTAATATTTTGAAACTTCTTCCAGGAGCTTCTCTATATTACCTTCGTTGACATCCACAAACATCTTTTGCTGTCGGCTAAAGTAATAAATGTCACCAGTGTAAATATCGAACCACAAGGCATGAATGTAGACTTTGCCTCTGAGGAGTCCCTCGCGCATGAAGTTGTAACTGGCGATGTTCTGGAGCTGCTGCAGGGTGTTCACTTGCGAGAGTTTGTCCTCGTCAGTGAAGTGATTCTCTGGGTCGATGTAGGCGACAAATCTTCGCATTGGGGTTTCAGCCTGTCAAAGATTCCGAGAAGTCTCATGAAAACCTTGTAAAAGTTACTCTTTATATCCTTCTAGAAACATTCTCTTTTTATTATTCATTATTATTATTTTTTTTTTTTTTTGGGGGGGGGGGGAAGGTTCCAAATGCTCCTGAAATTTTTATTACAAAATGTATTAACACAGAAAAAAAAAGTCCATACCTGAAAGATGAGTGGAGCTTGGAAATTTGCCACCTCCAGCTGTGCAAATTTAGCCAACGAGGAGCTTCCGTGTCGCACTAACCATGCCTTGAGGGGAGACAGCCGGATAATTTCATGGTGCAGTCGGTCAGTGTTGCGAAGGAGATGAAGCATATTCATTGCCTGTGGTGAGGAAAGTCAACGTATTATTTTTCTATATCTTTTTAACATTAAATGAGTCACTTCACCATATCAAAGTAAGTGCAGTTGTCTATTACTATAATAAATGTTGGATAGGAAAGGAATTCCCTAAAAAAAAGAAAACACACACACACACACACGTATATATAAATATAAATATATATATATATATATATATATATATATATATATATATATATATATATATATATATATATATGTATATATGTATATATATGTATATATATATAAATATATATATATATATATATATATATATATATATATATATATATATATATATATATATATATATATGTATATATGTATATATATGTATATATATATATATATATATATATATATATATATATATATATATATATATATATATATATATATATATATATATATATATATATATACATATATATACATATATACATATATATATATATATATATATATATATATATATATATATATATATATATATATATATATATATATATATATATAAATATAAATATAAATATAAATATAAATATAAATATAAATATAAATATAAATATAAATATATAAATATATACATATATACATATATACATATATACATATATACATATATACATATATATATAAATATATAAATATATAAATATATAAATATATAAATATATAAATATATAAATATATAAATATATAAATATATAAATATATAAATATATAAATATATATATATACACACATATATGTATATATATATGTATAAATGTGTATACATATACAAATATGTATATGTACATATATGTATATTTATGTGTATATATATATGTATGCATGTGTGTGTATATATATGTGTGTGTGTGTGTGTGTGTGTGTGTGTGTGTGTGTGTGTGTGTGTGTGTGTGTGTGTGTGTGTGTGTGTGTGTGTGTATATATATATATATATATATATATATATATATATATATATATATATATATATATATATATGTATATATATATATATATATATATATATATATATATATATATATATATATATATATATATACACACATATATATTTACACACACACACACACACACAAATATATACATATATATGACCAATAGCAGTCACAAAAGATAAGAATAAACACACACACACACACACACATAGAACCTAACTTGGTAATATATATATATATTTTTTTTTTTCAAATTACCTTGCAATCAGAGTGGCCACACACAATAACATGACGAATGCCATTGATGACGCAACCTAATTCTAATGCTGCTGGTTCAGTTGTGATTTCTTCGTGGCCACAGAGGTTTGCATGAGGTACAAGATTCCCTGCGTTTCTTACTGAAAAATAGATAATGAATAAATAAAAATCCACTGCTATGACAAGGCTATAGGAGAGGTTATATCAAATATTCATCAAAACATAACAAAATATATCTGTACAATCATGTGATCAATTTCAGAAAAGGCAACTTTATATCTATCAAATAACCACGTAAAACCTAATCACAATATACAACAAAATATCATTTACCAATAAACATGTCTCCAACGTTCGTTTGTGTAAACCTTGTTGGCAACATTCTGCTGTCCATGCAGGAGAAAAATACTGCTTTTGGCTGTAAAGAAACATTTCACATAGTCTGTAGATACAAAAATATTTGTGTGTGTGTGTGTGTGTGTGTGCGTATTCATATATATATGTATATATGTATGTATGTATGTATGTATGTATGTATACATATATATATATATATATATATATATATATATATATATATATATATATATATATATATACATATATATATATATATATATACACATACATACACATGTATATATATATATATATATATATATATATATATATATATATATATATATATATATATATATATATATATATATGTATATATATATATATATATATATATATATATATATATATATATATATATATATATATATATATATATGTATATATATGTATATATGTATATATATATATATATATATATATATATATATATATATATATATATATATATATATATATATATATATATATATATATATAATTTATTCATCAATATGTTTGTCTTTATCCATCCATCTTTTAATTATTTCTTAATTATTCATCTACTTAAACCGTTCAAAAATCCTAAACTGACAAGCATTTTCCAACCACCATGGAAAAGAACATAACAATCATCGTACTTGAACCAAGCATGGGGTATCAGTAACCTTGAGCCTTAAGAGAAAAAATCAGAAATGGTGGAATAACTTCGTCTCAGTTGTAATGACCTACTATTATTAGGATTCGAGAAAGACTAGACTTTAAAATAACCTCAAGATATCATTAAGTTGGAAAAAAGGGATAACATAATCGAATCAAAAGAGAAATTCGATAAACTAAAGGAAAGCGAATCCATAAATAAACAAAACTTACATGAGGATCATCGCGGACGACCTTAAATTGCTTCACCATTCCTGCTCTGTGGGTCTCCCTGTACCTCATAATCCCCTGTAATATCCGTGCCATCCCCATCTTTAAGAATTCTTGTCTCTTTTCTTCCCACGGACGTCGCAGGAGATGGGATAATGAGTGATAAAGGAGGAGAGGGAGAGGGAGAGAGAATCAGTGCTTGCAGACGACGCACCTTTTGTTTACGTGACGTCATAGATCTTCGAAAGTTATCGTACGCGAGTGACCTTGGCTTAATTTTTTTATTTATCGATTTATTTATTTTTATTTCAATCAGTGACTCTTTTCTTTTGCTTCTCTTGATTAAATGTCTTGAGCATGTTTTCATTTTTTTTAATTCTCAATTTTTCTTGTTTTGTAAGTTGTGGTGTAAGGTATAGTTTGATGTAAACGAATTGGGGAAAAGGAAGCGAATATGAATAACAGAAATATTGAGAGAAAAAAAAAGCAGAATTATACAAAGAAGGGAAACAGAAGTAGAAAAGGAAAAGGAAATTGTTCATGCCTGCGACAAATTAATCTTAAAAAAGCTTTACTCCTTATGATTTTAAAATAATTACAGCTATGCCATAGATTTGGCTCAAGAAAAAGAAAAGAAAAAAGAAAAGAGAGAAAGTGGTGTGTAGTTATTTTTATCTATTATTTTTAGCCTGTTTGTTTTTTGGGGGTATTGGTTTTTCGTTCTAATTAACAATCCTCTATGTCTTTGATTTCGTAATCACTGTCATTATAGTTGATGTTTTCACCCCTGTCATCGTTATAATTACCGTCATTACCATAATTCTTAAAATCACAATCACCATATGATGATCGTTGTCGCTACTATCATATACATAAGTATTGTACGATATTTGCTTAGGTACAGAAAAGAAAACAAGATTTCGTTCTTTCTTTTATTTCTCGAAAACAGTTTGGTAGCTAAAGTTTCTTGGCATTAGATTTGTACTTTCCCGAGTGATGACTAATCACACCTGTTAATCTACTATAAGAAAAAGAAAGAACAACTTTCCCTGTGACGAACATCGCTATAAGTCGATGTAGTCTGCACACATGCTTGCACCGTGCACACGTCATCAGATGGTCTTCTTTTATTAGTCGAAAACAATGATTTATGGGATTAGTTTTTTCCCTTCCCGTGTGATGACTAAACATTTGAATCAACAATAAGAAAAAAAATCACAGAAATGCAGGAAAGAGTACAAAAATAACAAAAATAAAAACAAGGAAAAATACCAAACCGCAACAAAGCATTTACAAAAGTATCAAAATGACAAGTGTGCATCAACAAATTATGTAACACGAACATCGCTATAACTCGATGTATACTGCACACATGCTTGCACCGTGCATACGTCATCAGATGATCTCGACTTGGAGGCAGGGACACCCTTCCTCCAAGTGGTTGCAGTTTAGCGCATGCAAAACGAGTCAGTTCATCCTTTTGCAATGTGAACACATTGCTGGGAAGAACTACGAAAAATGAAAAGGAGAAAGAAAAAGCGAAACGGAAGGAGGAAGTGAACAAGAGGAGATAGTGGCCGTCACCAGAGTCACAGGCCTTGTCGACTCTTCCCGAAAACAATGAAAAAAATAAAAAAGCCAAAGAAAGTTCCAGTAACAAGAATCGGCCAGGGAAGACAGCTCTCAAAGCGCTTTCCTTGCAACAGGTGGTCCGGGTTGCATAAGAAGGAAACCCGATGACACCTTGGCCTTCTATTTCCTCCCGCTGGGCACGGGGACAGGCACAGAGACGGAGACAGACGTGGAGCCTGGCTTCGTCGGCGCAAGGCCATTGGGTACATCTTCGTTGACCCACGCCCACCTTTCGTCGCCCTCGGGTGTCTTGACCTTCCTGAAGAAGTTGTAGTTGAGGTAGTAGTACATCTCCGGGTTGTCGCAGGTGAAGCTGCCCTGGTGAACGCAGGCCATGCTCGCCTGGGGGTGGGAGGCAGGAGAGGTATGGGTCAAGATGGGCAATTTATTGAGCATTCATTTATTAGTGGGTATGTTTACATGCAGTCCTGCAATCAGTATGATGGTTGAAATGTACTCTGTATGAATCTATGTGTGAATGATGTTTTGCATAATTGTTTCATTAACAGGGATGGTGTCCATTATTGTTTATAAGCAATCAATGTGAGAGGGATCTGTTGTGTACTGAGTGTGGTAATCACAGAAAATAGAACATAATGGCAAGCACAAATCCTCACCTGGTCAAAGGCGGTCTGGTTTCCGCAGATGAACGAAAAGTGGTATGTTGTTTGAGCCTTGAAAAGGGTTGGGTAAAGCGAGTGGAGAGGCAGGCAGACGTGGAAGATTTGACAATCGTTGTCTGGATCAGCGTAGTAGCCGTATGTCTGTGGAATAGCATTTTGATTAGTTTACTATGTAGGTACATAAATCGAAGATTTGTCACGGAGCTGTAAAGTATCACATGGAAATGCACATATTCTTCTAAAAGGTTCCAAAAAAGTGAGATGAGATGAAGTAATGCTGTAAGTTGCTGGAAACAAAATCGCACATGTAGAAAGCCAAACTAGTGTATCAAGCATTCAGTTAGATGTATATAAAAAAATTGCTGACTGCAGCTTTTTCTCCCATGGCAGAAACAAATGGGAAAAAAGGAGTTATTAGGCGAATTCATATCACGCTATTGATTTGGTCGATTTTTTCTGTGGAAGAAGTTTGGAGATTCGAGGATGAGGTGGAGAGAGGTGGGGGAGGGGCAAGGGCGAAGACAGCTGTGACTCTAGAAAAGGATTCTGTTGTCAGACTAGAGCAGAAGAGAGGAATTGCTGAGGGAGAAATAGTGGGCGGTGTATAGAGTGGTTCCTGTGCAAGCATGGCTATCTTCCATGATTATCTGCAGTCTCGAAACTGCCCCTACAAAGGACCATATAGGTTGAAGTCAAACTGGAACAGGTATATGTTAAGTAAATACGGTGGTTAGAGTTTGAAGGTTGTTTTAGATATTGTCCCATGAAAAAAAACTGATCCAAAGGCCAGGCTTCAGCTCGACAGGTGGGACTTTGCCTCTGAAAGTGGTCGATTATGAAAATTTATTTAAGCTTTCCCTAACAGATGGACACTGAATTCTCCAAGACCGGTGCGCTGCTAATGCCCAATGTAGGGAATGGTAGTTTACTCCAAAGCACTTTAACATTTGAACCTTAGCAATTATGAGTAACTTGATTGAGTGTTAGAAGCGTGAGTCTCCAAATACAGGAGAGGATCTGAAGAAGCATTTTGTGAGCACCAATGATACTGGTCCAGGGTTGAGGATCATGCTTTCTCTGGCCCGATGAGATTGTCCGTGATACTTCCAGGCGTTGGTTTCAGATGACGAAACTACTGGTGTGGGTTAACGAAGACTGCCTTGAACTGTAGTAAATGGGTAAATGGTGTAATGCTCTTTGATGCTCGTCTGCTTAACTGAGCCTCGTAGTGACGTGGCTGAAGCAGCGATTCCTTATTTGATCCTAAATGAGGCCCTGACAATATCTGGGAAGCTAGGTGAGCTAGATTGTGATATTTTTTGAAGGAAATACAGGTCTGTTTTATGATTGTCCTAGGAGATAGAAGGTTAAAATTTAATATGCAATTATAATATGAATGGTAAAAGTTTGAAGCCGGGCTTTATCAGACCGCCTTGCCTGTGTAGCGGCAAACCACGGAAGTAATGGCTATGCGATTGGAATGACAAAGACTTTATTATTGTATTGAATGTCTTAAATGAAAATTTAATGAACTAGTACATTAAATGGAGTATGATTCAGAAATAGACTGAAATATAAGTAGAGACATAAAGGCCCCAGTGTTCTCCCCTTCCTCTAGGAGAGGATTCTTACCTTTCCACTGCACGAGAAAGTATCCTTGATGTTGGGTCTGAGGAGGGTGGCATTGTCTGGAAGTCGACTCATGATCCCCGTCAAGGCAGGCTTGACGCTGAGTAGCTGAGCGTTGGCCGGGGAGTGCCTAAGGAGCTGGCTGACTGGCAGGGGTTCCAGGCTGTTGGGGGGAGCCTCGTACTCCACCACTGCGAGCTGGGGATTGGCCCAAGCTCTGTTGCGGGAAGTAGGGACGGCGGAGGTCGATGCCAAGAGGGCTGCAGAGGGCATGGGAGCATTGGGGTATTAGGGCGCACTTACAAGGGAGCTGGAAGGAAGGGGGCGACGGAGGCGAGGAGTTGGCAGAAGCAAGGTCTAAGGAAGTACTTTTGTAGAGCTTGGGCAGAAGTAGACAAAGTGAAAGAGAGCGAGGAATGAAATATTGGCGATAAGTTGAGATGGTGAATAGAGACATAGAGGCAGGGGCGTCACTTAAGGGGGGTATGGGGGGGGGTTCACCCTCTTTTTGCAGGGCAAAATCTAGTTCTGCAGGGCAAATTTTCTCTTACGGAATCTGCCTCAATAGCCGATAAGTATTCAAGATATATAAATAACTATATAAATCTAATAGTTGATGATACTTGATTTATATATATATATATATTTTTTTTTGGCGCAAAGTGTCTAATGTCTAAACTATTGAAATTAATTTTTGAACCCTTTTCTATTCGTTATAGATTTCTTGTTTTTTGGTATTGTTAGAAGTTTCTAGTTAAGTTTTTACGTTTTTTGTTGTTTTGTTCATTTATCATTTGTAAATACTGGTTGATGGTCCATTCCGGGCTACTTATAAAGAGCTAGTGAACATTTTCTTTTTCGTGATTTGCAGGGCAAAAAATATTTTTTCAGGGCAAATTTACCCGTCACCCCCCCAACTCATAACATGACGTGACGCCCCTGCATAGAGGTAAGGAAAGAAACACTGGATCTATATATATATTACACAGTGGTGTATCCGAAGTGGAGTATATGTGTATGTGTTTGTACACTATAGAAATGAGAGAGAGGGGGTCGAAAGAGGAAAGAAAGGAAAATATAGGAGAGGCTTCATAAAAACAGAAACGGATATATAACCAATATTATGTTCATATTCGTATTCAGTATGCGCAATATATGCGAAAGAGCTCGGTTAACTTACCAAAACATAAACACAGCACCAACATCGTGACCTGCGAAAACAGTCAAATGTGAAGCATTTAAATATATTTTCTCTAAATCTGAAGATTCGTATTCACATGAATTTTGCTTTTGTTCTTCACGAAGAGAACACACTTGTTTCTGCACTTCTTTGTGTATGCACATGTGTGTGTGTGTGGGTGCGAAATGACACGAATGCAATGAACTGCAAATTGTGTAATTCTAGTTTTCTATGATATCCATTATCTAACGTGAACTTTAATTGGCTGTTTATGTTGGGGCGGACATGAAGTGGCGAATAGAAGTATCATTTAATAATCTTATTTTACAATTTTACACATATTCCACTGATAGATGAACGCTCAGAAAGTAGCAAGAATTCAACCACAACTCACGGAAAGTAGAGCTCATTTCATACAAAAGAAAGAAAAACAAAAAACTAAAACTAAAGATACAGATCCGCATTCACATTTATACTCATTTACATTTTAATATGCAAGCCTAATAATTTTTTTTGCAGGCTTGTCATTAATTCAAACCACCGAATCAACAACATATCAAATCATATAATTCATGACTAATTACCCCGTAAAAATGAAGTGTACAGCCATTTGAAAAAGTTCATATCATCACTCAAACACAACGTTCATATTATAACACAAAAATCATTGTTACAAATAATCTGCTAACCAATTGCCATATTAGAATGATTAACTTGCAACAAGTGTTAAAAAATCGATTAGGTTTGAGCGATTCTTGGTTTATTTTCTGAGTGCAACAAAATTCTCAAACCAGATGACTTTTATCTTTTATCACACAATGGTACACCAATGTAGTCAATGAACATATAGAAAAGGGAAATAAAAAAATAACCAAGATGAAATAGAATAAAGCAAAAGTCACAAAAGAAACAAATGCAAGTGATAATGAAGATAGAATAAGATAAAACAAAATACTAATAGAAGGGTCACACACACACACAAATACTGCACATGCACTTTCGAGCGTCTCTGTTTGGCTCAAGACAAAATTAATTAGGCAAAAGTATGACTCGCAAAGATAAAACAAAAACAAAAGACGTACGTGTGCTTCGGAGCGTGTCTGTCTGTCTGTCTGAGGAAAGCTTTCGGACCGCGGATGTCTTGGGAGGCTTGAGCTCGGAAAAGCTTGCTTGTAAAGCTCACCCAAGTAAGCGACTGCGGTGGCTCGCTCTCGAAGGGCTGTTATATACAGGTGAGCTCACTCTCCTCCCCACTCCCCCTCTCGCTCTCCCTCACTCTCTCGTTCTTTCTTTCTCTCTTTCGCTGTTTTGTTGTTGTTGTTGTTGTTCTCTCTCTCTTCCTCCTTTTTCTCTCTCTCTGTCGGTTTCGTTTTCTTTTTATTTTCTTTCTTTCTTTTTTTCTCGCACTCTCTTGTTTTCTTTCTATTTCTTTCTTTCTCACCCCCCCCCCTCTCTCTCTCTGTCACTGTCTCAATTTCCTTCCCTCTCTTTCACTGTGTATGTGTATGTATATCTTCTCTCTCTTTCTCTCCTTCCCTCACTCTCCCATTTTTTTCTGTTTCTCATTCCTGTCTCTCTCTCTCTCTCTTACTTTCATGTTTTCTCTTTCTTTCTTTCTCTCCCACTCCCCTCTCTCTCTTGTCTCTCATTTTTTCTGTCTTTCTCTGTCTCACTTTCTCTTTCTATTTTCCTCTCCCTCCCTCTCTCTTATCTCTCTCTCTCTCTATATATATATATTTATATATGAATATATATATCTATGTGTGTGTCTTTCTTCCCCTCTCTCTCTCCCTCATTCTCTGTGTTTTTTTCGTTGTTTCTTGTTCTCTCTCTCATTCACTCTTTCTAGTTTTCTCTTTCTTCTCTATCTCGCTCTCTCTCTCTTTCTCAATCATTCTTTCTTTCTCATCCCTTTCTCTGTCTCTCGCACTTTCTTTTTTTTTCTCTGTTTCTTTCTTACCCCCCTCTCTATCCTGTATGTCTCTGTATGTCTCTCCTCTCTCTTTCTTTGTCACTATTTCTGACTTTCCTTCTCCCTTTCTTTCTGTTTTCCTCTCTATACCGGGTGGAAAGTCCTTGCGAACAGCTGCCGGGTCACCCTTGCAAACAGCTGTTCGTGACCCGGTTCCACCTGGTGTCCCCCCCCCCCCTGCTTCCGGTGGCCGCCGCTCCAAGGATGACCCTTGTCAGTCAGAGTGTGCTCTGGCGCGGCGAGGTCACATCTTGTCCTCGCGCCCAGTCTGCCCGCTAAGGCGTTGGCCGCTCGTGACCTAGGCGACCCAGCGCTACCCGAGTCTCGTCGTTTGTGTTTATCATAACCGTGTGCTGAACTCTTACCGAATAAAGAGTGTAAAGCCACGCAAGCTTTTACTGTCCTGTCACAAATGTCTAGAGGTCTTCTTAGACCCTTTACATTCTGGTGGCAGCGGTGGGATTTGTGACCTTTTGGCTCACGACTCGAACCAAGCTTCTCTGAAGAAAAACCATTCGCCACAAACAAACACAAGATGGCAATCTTCAAAGAACCGTAAGTACACATTTGGGCCCCTTCTCTTTTCATTTCCTTTCTGTCTACTCCCTAAATATGTTAAGCCGTGTACAGCCATGCTCACGTAGGTTTTTGTTGGGTAAAAAGTGCTAAGTGGTCACAATGGCACGCTCTCATTTCTCATTTTCTGACCTCACATCTCATTACTGTGTGATAGAGTTTGAAGGCAAACATTATGAATATCGTTCATTTATTAAGTGTCTATTCAATTTTTTTCGTGATTAAATTATATTGTTTCAATTGCAGGGAATTTAGCGCGTTTGTGATTTATTTTTCACAAACATTCACTCATTAAATTCTTCTCTCACCATTTCCTGTCTTGACCTGACCTCACCTGAAAGTCATTAAGCTGGGGCATTTCTGACCTCACTTTCACTTGAGTGATTGACAGTGTTATGGCTGAGAGAACAGCTTGCCATTTCCTTTTAATTGTTTCCACTAATTGTCACAATGTAGGGATAATGCATAGCAACCGTTACATGTTCATTGGTGACACGTTCTATCGGCGCTAGAACGGAGCTTGTAACGTGACTCGTATATTTTAATGTAACGCCAAGAGATATCCTCATAGCATAGTGTCAGAGTGTCTGAATACTTGAGGTTGCATTTATGCGTAATGTACTTGTGCGTCCAACATATAACAAGGTTAGGTAACTGAAGTAATTCATACGTTCGGCAATACTTTGAGCCGGTGTGCCCGCAATTATGTCCATTAATTTAGGACAGGATTTAAGTCTGATTTAGGATCCACTTAATTAATCACAACCCGCTCACACTTTTAAATGTCGCTTGGCATGTTGGGTAAATCCCATCAGTTTGTGATTCATGTTAAATCCCCGTAGGACCTTTCATGAGCGCCCATCATAGATCCGCAGATAGAGTGGGTTATTTATAGATTTTCCCAGCTCGTTTAGCTTCATAAAATACGGCATTTTTGGGTTCAAGTCCCCCTGTCAATGAAGCCTGCATGCCAGTGAAGACATATTTACCTCGGAAGTTCCGGGAAGATTCGCTCGCGAAGAAGCTTGCAAATAATTAATTCATTAATGCGTCATTCTGTCGCATATCATTAAATGTTAAATTCAATGTGGTAGTTGAAATAATTTTGCATTACGTCTATAAATAATTAGTCGCATTATTGTTAAAATGAACTTTATTCAACGTGTTGGCAACATTACTGCTCTATAGGAGGTCACTCTTCCTTTCATTTGACACTCATTAATCACTATAATCGTCGTCGGCAATTCTACAGGGCCGCGTAAGTACACAAGGGCTAAATTCCTTTCTTCTGTTCCCCCCATTTGTGTGCTACGAGCCAGTCATTTTTTATATTTACAATTGCTTAGGGCCGTAGGGAAACGGGAAGGTCGTGTTGCCCAAGCAACACCTTCCCCCTCTTGCCTCCTGTAGGTAGTCGACGCCAGCATACTTTCCTTTCGGGTTCGACAATGGTTCAAACAGACTTTTACGGGTTGCCAGTTGTCGTTTAACCTACTTTATTCTCGTATCTATCAAGAGACGTTTTGGTAGTTCAAGCTAGGTCCTCGCGGATCGCTATCGCCGTCTCCCTCTCCTATTTTCCTCTTTTAACTTAACTTTGTGAACATAAAACACAAAATGAAAAAAAGACGAAAATAACGAAAATTCGACCTTAAAAACTGCAAATTATAAAACAAAATTCGGCTAGTAGCATTTAACACTTCTTCTCTGTTGTATTTCTCTCTCTCACTATCTGGCCCATTATATGTTATTCTGGTTCACAATATCCGAAACGGCACCGAAGGAGGCCCTGCTGCAGAAACGGTCACCTTCGGAAGCCATTGAAAAACGTCATCGGAGGATCGCCAGAAGCCTGGAGACCAGGATGCTCGCCAGAGCAGGTATTAAGCCGCCCCAGGACGTGGATGGGCGCCGTTGCCAGGACGCCCGGAGATCCAGCGCAGATCAGGAACTGGCCAGTGCAGGTTCTCGCCGTCCCATGATGCTGTGGACGGGTGCCGCATGCCTGGACGCCGCAGATCCAGTCAAACTCCAGGAGCTCGTTAGTGCAGGTATCAGCCGCCCTGCGATGTCGAAGAGGACGCTTCCTGCCGGACGCCCGTAGATCCTGACGAAGATTACGAGGACATCTGTACGAGCGCACAGCCGTGGAGGACCTGGACGGTGATCTGCAAGACGTGCATTGGGCGAGTAAGCCGCCGAGTTAGACCTAGACGCGGACTACGAAGAAGTCTGGGCGAATCCGAAGTTAAGGAGGACCTGGGCGAGACCTTCGAGGACGAGCAGATGTCAAGGATGGACAGATTACCAGAGACCAGGACGAGGATGACGACAAGGACGAGCAGCCACGGAGATGCACCAAGGATACCGCACACGAGATCGAGGACGAGCAAGTTAGGACCAGCCAGGTTGGGTCACCCTTGAGGAAAGTCTAGATATCCTCGAGGACGAGCCGTTAGTAGGTGGCCGAGCAATATACCGGGTGGAAAGTCCTTGCGAACAGCTGCTCGTGACCCGGTTCCACCTGGTCCCCCCCCTGCTTCCGGTGGCCGCCGCTACTTATACTCCAAGGATGACCACTGTCAGTCAGAGTGTGCTCTGGCGCGGCGAGGTCACATCTTGTCCTCGCGCCCAGTCTGCCCGCTGAGGCGGTGGCCGCTCGTGACCTAGGCGACCCAGCGCTACCCAAGTCTCGTCGTTTGTGTTTATCATAACCGTGTGCTGAACTCCACCCAAGCTTTTACTGTCCTGTCACAAATGTTTAGAGGTCTTCTTAGACCCTTTACACTCTCCCTGACTCATTTTGCTCAAAAGAATCGGGGAAAAGGAAGAGAAGGAAGAAGAAATATAGAGGAAACAAAGAAGAATTGTACAAAGAAGGGGAAAAGAAAGAAAGGAATAGTGGCAAATGAAATTGTTTATGGCTGCCAGGTTTCAAATTGATAATGATAAAAAAGTCTTTGGCACTCATATTTTCTGATTAATTTCAACTAAGTCAAAGATTTTTTTGTATTGGTTTGTTGCTCTGATTACAATTTTCGTGGTCGCTGTTTTCAATATCACAAATATCCTTAGTAGTATAATCTTTATAGTCGATGTTATCACCTTATCATTATACTTCATGTTATCACCATCGCCATCACTTTCAACTACAATTATCGCAATCACTATAGTGCCATCTGTCACTATAATCATATTGATAAGTATTACACGTTATTCACTTTATTACGAAGGTCGTTGCACAAAAAAGAAAAAAAGATCGTCTTTTCTTTTATTTGTCGAAAACAATGATTTATGGGATTATTATTTTTTTTACTTCCCGTGTGATGACTAAACATTTGAATCAACAATAAGAAAAACATCACAGAAATGCAGGAAAGAGTATAACAAAAATAAAAAACAAAAGGAAAAATACCAAACCGCAACAAAGCATTTACAAAAGTATCAAAATGACAAGTGTGCAAATTATGTAACACGAACATCGCTATAAGTCGATGTACACTGCACACATGCTTGCACCATGCACACGTCATCAGATGATCTTGGCTTGGAGGCAGGGACGCGCTTCCTCCAAGTGGTTGCAGTTTAGCGCATGCAAAACGAGTCAGTTCATCCTTTTGCAATGTGAACACATTGCTGGGAAGAACTACGAGAAACGAAAAGGAGAAAGAACAAGCGAAACGGAAGGAGGAAGTGAACAAGAGGAAATAATGACCGTCACCAGAGTCACAGGACCTTGTCGACTCTTCCCGAAAACAATGAAAAAAAAAGCCAAAGAAAGTTCCAGTAACAAGAATCGGCCAGGGAAGACAGCTCTCAAAGCGCTTTCCTTGCAACAGGTGGTCCGGGTTGCATAAGAAGGAAACCCGATGACACCTTGGCCTTCTATTTCCTCCCGCTGGGCACGGGGACAGGCACAGAGACGGAGACAGACGTGGAGCCTGGCTTCGTCGGCGCAAGGCCATTGGGTACATCTTCGTTGACCCACGCCCACCTTTCGTCGCCCTCGGGTGTCTTGACCTTCCTGAAGAAGTTGTAGTTGAGGTAGTAGTACATCTCCGGGTTGTCGCAGGTGAAGCTGCCCTGGTGAACGCAGGCCATGCTCGCCTGGGGGTGGGAGGCAGGAGAGGTATGGGTCAAGATGGGCAATTTATTGAGCATTCATTTATTAGTGGGTATGTTTACATGCAGTCCTGCAATCAGTATGATGGTTGAAATGTACTCTGTATGAATCTATGTGTGAATGATGTTTTGCATAATTGTGTCATTAACAGGGATGGTGTCCATTATTGTTTATAAGCAATCAATGTGAGAGGGATCTGTTGTGTACTGAGTGTGGTAATCACAGAAAATAGAACATAATGACAAGCACAAATCCTCACCTGGTCAAAGGCGGTCTGGTTTCCGCAGATGAACGAAAAGTGGTATGTTGTTTGAGCCTTGAAAAGGGTTGGGTAAAGCGAGTGGAGAGGCAGGCAGACGTGGAAGATTTGACAATCGTTGTCTGGATCAGCGTAGTAGCCGTATGTCTGTGGAATAGCATTTTGATTAGTTTACTATGTAGGTACATAAATCGAAGATTTGTCACGGAGCTGTAAAGTATCACATGGAAATGCACATATTCTTCTAAAAGGTTCCAAAAAAGTGAGATGAGATGAAGTAATGCTGTAAGTTGCTGGAAACAAAATCGCACATGTAGAAAGCCAAACTAGTGTATCAAGCATTCAGTTAGATGTATATAAAAAAATTGCTGACTGCAGCTTTTTCTCCCATGGCAGAAACAAATGGGAAAAAAGGAGTTATTAGGCGAATTCATATCACGCTATTGATTTGGTCGATTTTTTCTGTGGAAGAAGTTTGGAGATTCGAGGATGAGGTGGAGAGAGGTGGGGGAGGGGCAAGGGCTAAGACAGCTGTCTCTAGAAAAGGATTCTGTTGTCAGACTAGAGCAGAAGAGAGGAATTGCTGAGGGAGAAATAATGGGCGGTCTATAGATTGGTTCCTGTGCAAGCATGGCTATCATCCATGATTATCTGCAGTCTCGAAACTGCCCCTACAAAGGACTATATAGGTTGAAGTCAAACTGGAACAAGTATATGTTAAGTAAATACGGTGGTTAGAGTTTGAAAGTTGTTTTAGATATTGTCCCATGAAAAAAAAACTGATCCAAAGGCCAGGCTTCAGCTCGACAGGTGGGACTTTGCCTCTGAAAGTGGTCGATTATGAAAATTTATTTAAGCTTTCCCTAACAGATGGACACTGAACTCTCCAGGAACGGTGCGCTGCTAATGCCCAATGTAGGGAATGGTAGTTTACTCCAAAGTACTTTAACATTTGAACCTTAGCAATTATGAGTAACTTGGTTGAGTGTTAGAAGCGTGAGTCTCCAAATACAGGAGAGGATCTGAAGAAGCATTTTGTGAGCACCAATGATGCTGGTCCAGGGTTGAGGATCATGCTTTCTCTGGCCCGATGAGATTGTCCGTGATACTTCCAGGCGTTGGTTTCAGATGACGAAACTACTGGTGTGGGTTAACGAAGACTGCCTTGAACTGTAGTAAATGGGTAAATGGCGTAATGCTCTTTGATGCTCGTCTGCTTAACTGAGCCTCGTAGTGACGTGGCTGAAGCAGCGATTCCTTATTTGATCCTAAATGAGGCCCTGGCAATATCTGGGAAGCTAGGTGAGCTAGATTGTGATATTTTTTGAAGGAAATACAGGTCTGTTTTATGATTGTCCTAGGAGATAGAAGGTTAAAAGTTAATATGCAATTATAATATGAATGGTAAAAGTTTGAAGCCGGGCTTTATCAGACCGCCTTGCCTGTGTAGCGGCAAACCACGGAGGTAATGGCTATGCGATTGGAATGACAAAGACTTTATTATTGTATTGAATGTCTTAAATGAAAATTTAATGAACTAGTACATTAAATGGAGTATGATCCAGAAATAGACTGAAATATAAGTAGAGACATAAAGGCCCCAGTGTTCTCCCCTTCCTCTAGGAGAGGATTCTTACCTTCCCACTGCACGAGAACGTATCCTTGATGTTGGGTCTGAGGAGGGTGGCATTGTCTGGAAGTCGACTCATGATCCCCGTCAAGGCAGGCTTGATGCTGAGCAGCTGAGCGTTGGCCGGGGAGTGCCTAAGGAGCTGGCTGACTGGCAGGGATTCCAGGCTGTTGGGGGGAGCCTCGTACTCCACCACTGCGAGCTGGGGATTGGCCCAAGCTCTGTTGCGGGAAGTAGGGACGGCGGAGGTCGATGCCAAGAGGGCTGCAAGGGCATGGGAGCATTGGGGTATTAGGGCGCACTTACAAGGGAGCTGGAAGGAAGGGGGCGACGGAGGCGAGGAGTTGGCAGAAGCAAGGTCTAAGGAAGTACTTTTGTAGAGCTTGGGCAGAAGTAGACAAAGTGAAAGAGAGCGAGGAATGAAATATTGATGATAAATTGAGATAATGGATAGAGACATAGAGGTAGGAAAGTAAACACTAGATCTGTATGTATATTACACACACTGGTGTAGCTTAAGTGCAGGGTTGGTGGAGCATTTTTACCCCCAAATGACATCTGACAAAAATGGAAATTTTCTAAAATAGATATGCAAATAAAATTATCTATAGTTTATTATTATTCATAATTAGGTAGATGAAATAATTATGACACTAATCGACAAGAGTTGTTGTCAATAAAGCTATTTATATTCATATATGCATAAACACATACATGTGTGTGTATATATATATATATATATATATATGTATGTGTGAGTGTATATGTGTATGTCTGCATATGCATGTGTGTTTGTACACTATAGAAATGAAAGAGAGGGGGTCGAGAGAGGAAAGAAAAGAAATGTAGGTGAGGATTCATAAAAACAGAAACAGAAATATAACCAATATTATGCTCATCACATTCATATTCACTGTGCACAATACATGCGAAAAAGCTCGGTTAACTTACCAAAACATAAACATAGAACCAACATCGTGACCTGCGAAAACAATGAAATGTGAAGCATTTAAATAATTACTTTTTTTCTCTAAATCTTATGATTCCTATTCACATCCCCCCCCCCCTTCTCTTAAAATTCTCTCAGCAACCGTATTTGAACGTTCTTTCAATTTTCCTTTTGTTCTTCACGAAGAAAACGCATTTCTATGTGTATGCGTACCTGTGTGTGTGTGTGTGTGTGTGTGTGCGCGCGCGCGCGCGAACTGAACCGAATACAATGAACTGCAAAATGTGTAATTCTCGTTTTCTATGACACCCATTATCTAACGGGAACTTTAACTGTTTGACTGTTTATGTTGGAGCGCAAAGAGAGCGGCGAATTGAAGTATCATTGAACAATCAAAGAAAAATGAACTTAAAATAAACAGTTGGCATAGCATGATTACTAATCCTTATGCAGTCACATTTACACTTATCTATATTCAATTTTGAATGCCTAATAAATTCTTCAGTAGGCCTGCCTTTAACTCAAACCACCAAATGAACTGTTGATAAAATCTAAGGAATTTATGACTAATTGATAAAGAAATGAAGGGCGCGGCCACTTTAAAAAGTTCATATCACACAAAACACAAAGTTCATACCATAACACACAAAAATATTGTTAGAATTATCAACTTGCAGTGTAAAAGTGTAAAAAAGTCGATTACGTTTAGACAATTATCGGTTTATTTTTAACAAAATTCTTAAACCGAATCACGTTTATCCCAAGACCTAATCTCATATCCTAACCGGACACACTAAATACAATAAATAAGGAT